TGGTAAAACTTGAGGATTCATAAACAGACCCATGGGTATAAGGCCCCTTGGCTTATGAGAAAGGCACCACTTCTGTGGAGTGGGAAAAAATGGTCTTTTAATAAATGCCAATTGATCAAATGGATGTAAATATGAAAAAAAGAATAAACCTCCTCTTACATTGTACACATAAAAATATTTCATGAAATTATATACCAAGACGTATTAGAAGATTAAACAATGAAGCTTCCAAAGACGACTTAGAAGTCTACCTTCATGACTTTGGTGTGGGCAAAGATTCCTTAAACAGGACACAAAAAAACACTGATTGTGAAGAATAGCTCTTCATCAAGATACTCCACAAGAAAGAAAAGGGAAGACACTGAGCAGAATAAGATATTTACAATACATACATCTAACAAAGAACTTGCATGTATGTATATATGTGTCTATCTATCGTCCCAAAAATACGTGAAAGAAAAGCCAGACAACCGGTGTTACAAACAATCAATAGGCTCACATTCTCCACAAAGATGACATCCACAGCAGCTAACAAACACGTGATGATGCCGCACCACAATCACAGAATGAAACGAGGAACTGAAAAAGAAATCGATGCTGCCAAGTGCTGGCGAGGATTGTGGAGCAGCTGGGTTCTCAGGTAGAATCTGAGAGGCTCTTCTGGCCCAGCAGTTCTTCAGTGCACACTGGCCCGACTTCCAGGAGTTGGCCACCGTCTCTGCTTTCCCGGGGCTTTCTCTGATTCTAACAGCAGCTCTCTCTGTGACAGCAGTAGCCCAGAGGTGTCAGAGAATAAACTCCCCTCCCCCCAGGAGTAATCCTGACCAAGAACTGTGTGGAGTGGTGTATAAATGCCCTGCCCCTCATTCTCGATGTGTCTTCCATACCGTTTCCCGAGACCTTCAGCAGGCTTTGGCCTGGCTGCCTACACTGGCACTTCCTTCATAGTACACTTTTTTTTTGATAGTCTACTTTTTATTGACTACCTTAACTTCTCCATTTTACTTCCCCACTTCCTACCAAGATTTTTGGGGGGCCATCTCCAAAATAAGCCACTTGTACTCAAATTCTCATTTCAGGGTATAAATCTGGGGAAACTATATTAAAAAATGTTCACTTAAAAAGAAAAAGACATGGATGATAACTCTGAATTTCCAGGGGGTATTATAAGAGTCAATATTACTTAGTTGCTGTAGTGATGCAGTGTATTAGGATATACCTCGCTACTACTTTCAATGTAAAAAGTGCATTTGTCAAGTACATAGATATAAATTTGATCATGTCATCAGAAGCTGTGTTAGAAATTTTACGTGGTTTATCTCACTTAATTATCCTCCCTATTACATTGATGAGGAAGTTGAAAATCATAAATGCAAAAGAAGTTTTTCAAGATCACATTCCAGTTTCAGGGTGAATCAGGATGCGCTAGGAGACCTGATAGGCGAGTTTCATATTTACCAGATTGTGGAGGGTCAGGATAAGAAATGGGAGTGAAGGTCCTGTATTTTTTATTCAATGGCAAACCAGGTGCAGTTGTAAAACACAGGAATGCAAGGACCAGATGTTTTAGAAACTCCCTCTGACTTCAGGATGGAAGAGGGGTCAGAGGGGAAAGGACAGGAGGCTGGGCGACCCTTTAGGGAGCTATCACAATAACCCAGGGCTAAGATGCGAAGGGCAGTGACTAGGGCAGGGCCTGTAGAAATCGCAAAGAGAGGATGGATTTCTCAGCTATCAGCCAGGGGAGGGGATTGACAAGTTTAGTGACCAATTCTATGTAGGGGTTGAAGAAGAAGGAAGACAGTTTCTTATTTCAGATGTTGGTTGATGATTTAAATATTTTTACTGAGGTCACTTCGACAATTCCTTGTTCTTATAACAGGGGTCCCCCTGGTGGTAAAAGAAAACCAAGAATGGGATCCCTTATCCAGAGTGCCTGCTTGCGCGACATACAATTGTGCAACCGAACCTGGTTACAAGACCCTGGTGCGGGAATCCCCTTCTCGTTTTGTGGGTGGCAGCAAAGACTCACATGTAAAAAGAACCGAAAGCTGGCGGGCGCGGGGGAGGAGAGAAGTGAAGGTGGTTAAAACGTACAAACTCCCCGTTATGGGATGATTAAGTTCTGGGGATGTAACGTACAGCAGGGTGATTATAGTCAACAATGCTGTATTGTATACTTGAAAGTTGCTGAGACAGTAGATCCTAAAAGTTCTTATCACAAGAAAAACAAATTTGTAACTATGTGAAGTGATAGATGTGTTAACTTATTGTGGTAATCGCTTTGCAATATATACATATATCAAAGTGTTATGTTGTATACCTTAGAGGCATACAATGTTTTGGGGGAAAATCTTCCTGAACGAACAACGCTGAGAGCTGATGGCTGCAGATGGGCCAGAAAGTGAGACCTGACAGCCACCTTCACCCACTTAAGCAAGGAAGCTTCCGGCCAAGAAATCTCCACGTAGCCCAGTATGGGGCTGGCTGCCATGTGGTGCTGAATCGAACGGGCACTGGGAACTCTCTCATTATTGATCTGATTTCTTAAGAGCACGGCAGAGGAAAGAGTAGAGACTTTAAAGCCAGATACACCTGCCTCTGAATGTTGGCCCTGCCACAAATCTGCTAGTATGTTCCTTCATCTCTGAATTCTACCTGACAGTACCTGGGTGGTGGTGGGGTTTGAGGGAACGTGTGTAAAGCACTAGCCCTATGCCTCCTCAGCGGTTGGAGGTGATGATTACCTTAGGAGCTCAGGAGATGACCCACTGAGGGCCTTTGGACAAGTAGTAGGGTCTTTGGGATCCCGTTTATTCATGACTATGACTATGCTAATAAAAAAGGGGCAGCTCCAAAGCTGACTCAAAATATTGCTAACCTGTCTGAAGCTCCAAGGGCCTGGTAGTGAATCTAAACACACACGGCAGAATCCCAGAGACCTCTCTCTTCGTGGTTTCTCTCTTAATGCCGTGGGAATAGTCTTTGAAATAGACAAGAAGGTTTCTCTAAAACAGGAACATTGGAATAGGCCTGAGTCATCAACTAAGATGAGATATTTCAGAAAATTTCTATTTTGAGCCTGTGGCATGTTTCTGATTATGTATAAATACCTTGCTTGTTATATAAATACATGCATGGTGAGTGTAGCCTTTTGCTAAGAAATGTAAAGCAAATAGCCACAAGAAAATCTGAGAAAAGAGCCACAGCATAATTGCTCCTAGTGGTCCCTTTTCACGGGTCCATGAGGACCATGGAAAGGTTTAAGTGTCATAGCTGTAAGTCACCTCTTGAAATCACTGCAGCCATGTTTGTCTCCTCAGGAGCTCCGTGTGCATAGGTATTAGTTGGCCTTAGCCATCGGTAAGCTTTTGTAGGCTCTCTAATGAAAACAACTGCATTTTCTGGGCTTCACTGCATGTTATGGAGTGTTCTGTCTCTCGTGCTATAAATGTACAGTCATGAGAGGCAGGCTGTTCATTAGGGACCACCAGCATACTAGGCAAATGGCGAATCAGGTATTTCATTGATGTGCCCAGAAAATGACTTCTCAAAGGTCAGACTTAAACAACAACAACAACAAACAACAACAAAAAATCAAAACAAAACAAAAACATTCTTTTCACAGCACACATAGGCTGGGTCATAGTGAAGAGCAAAGGGTTTGACAAGATTAATTATTTATGATGTACTTCATAAGGAAAACAGTGAAGTTCTCCTATTGTAGTAATTCCCCTATATTATGCCCAATGCCATGTGTTTATTAGCTCTTTTGATTTTAAGTTGTTTTGTGGAAAGATATAACACCTGGCACTTCATATTTTTACTGGACATAGGACCATAATCTGCCAGATAATATGGTGGGTATAATGTGAGTGTGATTTTAGGTGCCAGAGAGCTTATTATGTGAGGGAATACGCATCAAAACCAGTGGTGGCTCCATATTGATCCTTTGCAGATTTTTCCCATTTACTTTCTGTCATTTCAGGGAATGCTGATGTTACCTCAGCCACAGGACAGCCGAAGCTCTTGATTAAAGCAGTGGGCATAACAGTTTCCCTACAGCCTGGGGGAAGGTTGGGTTACGTCAGAGTGTGAAAGGCAAACGGAGGGCGGGCTGCGTCCGTCCGTCCGTCTGTCTCTGAAGGCTGCCCGCAGTGGTGTGAACTTGAGGGGCAGGAGGCCGCTTCTGAAGTGTTTGCCAACTGGAACGTAAGTCCCACTTTAAAAACTAAAGAATTTTAAAAAATGTACAATATGAGTAATAAAGATATTTTAAAATAAAAATTTAATTGATCCTTATTTTTATCAAGCCGATAAAATGTGATATTTGTTTTTAAACTATTTTTCCTCTCATTAAATGTTCATTGTTTCATTCTGTAAACTCTTACATTCTCCAAACAAGTTTTCCTTTGTGATACTTAGGCAGGATTTTGGCCAAATTACAAAAATAATATATATATATATATAGTTCACTTTCTTTATACGGGCTTCAACAATTACATCTACATAAAGGTATAATTATTTATGTAAATGTACTTCCCTTAACCGAGACAGCTCCAAAGCATATGAGCCTGAGCTATGTAATAAAAGAGTAGATGTGTTAATCTCTCTGTGTGGACGTGAGAGAAAGAGAGAGAGAGAGAATTGGGGTTCCTGAAAAGTACACATATATTCATGTGGTCATTGGGTTTGTGGTTTCTCTGTTTGGGGGTTGTCTGGGTTATGACTTGCCCCTTCCCTGTAGTGCTAGTGTTCTGGTTCAAAGCCATTCTTCAGTCCAACTGCCTGTGATGGGTGTATGAATAACAAGCAAAGCCAAAAGCATGCCACTCCCTACACACTCTCTCTTTCCCCTGATCTCCAAGTGTGTGACCCAAATATGTATGCCTGTGTCCAGGTAACAATCTCCATCATACAGTGTATTTCAAATGAAAACTTTGAGTTAGCAAACTGTTAGCCTGGCACTTGGAGAACGCCCACAGTGAGCCGACTCTTACCTTGCGGTGTCCCCAGAGCTGGTTCCCCTTCATGCCATGACAGTCGTAGAGAGTGACCGAGCTGTGGTGTGAGATCGCATCGAAGCAGAACTTCCGGGTGTGCAGCGGCTCCCCAGGTCGAATGTCTTCTCTCCATCCAAAAGTAAAGAGCTACCAAAGCGACGATAGCAGAAAAGCTGCAGTGAGTTTAATTTGGAGACATTCGAGAACAAGGGGAGCAATTTAGATTTGTTTTATGACTTACAGGGAAAAACTGTCTCATGATAATAGAGGTGTCGAGAAAAGCATGTATCACAGAGTGCTGTAGTAGTGACAGTTGCACCTTTGGGTGCCAGAAATGCAAATGAAGAGTTTCCAGGTAGGTACTAGAAATAACAGAGGACTGTATGAAGACAGGGGAAGGAGGAGGTAGAAGAAGAACTCTTTAATGAAGTTCTTTACATTCTTCATTTTGATAAAATGCTACTGGGTAAAATGCTACACAGTTAGCCCAAATGAGCAGATTAATTGAAAAAAGACCAGGAGTAGAGTCGAACTGTGTTGAAGCTAGCGACTTAAAAGGTTTGATTTAAATGAAAGCTAAGCTTGATGAAGTAAAGAACAGGCAAATTACTTTCCTTGGGTTGGTAAGTGTAATTATGCAGGGCAATGTTCTGAGCTGTACCTCACAGTAAGAAGTACAGTTCACACACACACACACACACACACACACACACACACACACACTTGCATACACTTCCCTTCCCCAAACTGAAACAAGTTTCATGAACTGATAATCATCCTTACTGCGTTTAATAGACTCTGCTATTCCATCTGACCTTATCCTACCCTAGTCTATTCTACCTTATTCATCCCATTCTATTATTTTTTTTAAAATGCTGTTTATGATGTACTAAATTAATTATACAATTTATTAAATTTCAAAAAAACCCCACATTCTTTAGGGAAAGGGTCTTTTCTTGAGTTTGACCTGGACAACCGCTAGAAGGGTGCGGTAGAAAAAAGTCTTTAAGTGGGAAAATAGACTAGATGAGACTTATGATTAATTCCAATTTTAAGTCCATTAAGGTCATATAAATCTTACTATAGGACTTAAGGTAGGCCCGGCTGTGTAAAGCCAAACTGGGAACTGCAAAGTGAAGAGGTGTCAAGAAGCCCCCACTGATACACAAACAAGCACAACCACCAGGGCCCTCAGTGTATTTCAGTTTTTATGTCCTACCCAGGGAAGAAAATGTAGAGAATCTGGCAAAATTTCGGGGATGACTAACAAAAACAGTTCAATGGTGGGGAAACTGCAGAAAACTTGAAGGAACTGGGTAAGTGTTCTAAGAAAATCAGAGAGAAATTCTCTAAGTCAAACATATGGAAGCTGGAAGTAGATTGAGTCATGGCATGTGGCTATAGTTTGCTTCCCCGGAAGACAGGACAGAAGAGAATGTTTTGAATAGAAGGACAAAGGATCTTTCGGTTAGGCATTTAAAATGGATTCATAAAGAGGAGTTGTGTGGTCTCTTTTCCTTGAGCGTCTTTGTTCATTTGTTTAAATAGGATTGTAGACTGAGGCATTTTTAGATTCATTCAAATTCTGTGCAGGATAGTGACTTCTCAAGGACAGAAGTCTACTCAGTGTTTCTGATTTTGATCACTGCCCTCAACTCAGAACTCTGAGGTCCTGTTATCCTGCAACTCTATCTTGCCCACGTCCCTCTTTTACCTGTCCCTTCTACAGAGGTGTTGCCCAGGGTTCATCCCTGGACTCCCCACCCTTGCACCTTCTCTGGTTGGTCTTAAACATTCTCAGTGGTTCAACTCTTGACAATGTGCTAATAACTCATCATCTGTATTACATCCAACTCCATTTAGGATTTGCCAACTGCATGTCCCATGGACATCTCAGATTCAACACACCCTAAATTTAATTGATTTTCTTCCCTTTTTAGCCTGTTTGTACTCTTATATTTTGTTCTAGTTGGTGGTCATATCATTCAACTTGTCAACCTGAGAGTCTTTCATCTTTAACCCTTTCATGTCCCTTGCCCTCTTATCTAATCAATTCCCAAGCCTTGTCATTTTTGTCTTCTAAATATTGCTGAAAGTATTTCTTCCTTTCTATCTCCACTACCATTTCACTCCACATTTCTTGTCTGGAATACTAAAATGACCTCCTAATTAGTTTCATTCTTACCTTCCTTTTCAAATTCCTTCCTATCCGTCCTCTGTAGCCTCCAGAGAATTCTGTTTGAAACGTCTATTTGGCCTTGCCACATCTCAACCCAAAATCCCACAATATTTTCACATACCCTTAGAGAATAAAGTTCAAACTCTTTAACATGTAAAGAACTCTCCACAATCTGGGTTTGCCATTTTTGTCCAGCTGCATCGCTTCCCTTTAGTCTGTGTTCCAGCTACAAGAAAATATTTACAGTCCCTTGCAGTAATCGGGCTATATTTCCCCTTCTGTGGCTTTGTTCAGGACAGTCCCTCTGGTTGGAAGGCCAGCTTTCACCAGCCAAGCTGGTGAGGGCTCATTAGTTTTACGACATTCAGTTCAGCTGCCCACTCGTCCAAGCAGCCTTCCTCTTTGAACCCCTCACTCCTCGCCACTGCTTGCCTTTACTTCATCACGTCTGCCCATTTATGTTTCTGTTCATCTCACTGGACAGTGAGCTCTTTAATGGCGGGAGTCATATCTTCTTTTACTTTTGTGTTCCCTGCAACCTGAACAACTCACGACGCATAAGTGTTCAATACAATTTCTACCAAATAAATAAAAACTTGCACTCGTTATATCAACAGAAAGTGTATTGGGATAGCTGTCAAAATGAATGAATTGATCTTTTTTGGTCCCTCAAAAGAATTTCTTCTGTTTGTGTCTAATCACGACAATATCAACCACACTATTATTTGTCAAAATCTCAACTATAATGATTCTAGGCTCAGTTACCTATTATTTCCTGGCCTATAAGCTTGCTATTGGCATTGATTAAATCTTTATTTTATTTAAATATCAAAGTTCCTTGTTACTGTAAGCAGACCAAACAATGCGGGAACCAGTGGTCTTTACTGGTTTGTCCAGTTCCCTCTGTTGCTGTCTCCTGCCTTTCTGCTTGTCTCCTGTTTCAGTTTTTATACACTAAGTCCTCACTTAACATCGTCCAAAAACAACTTTACCATAAGCTAATTGATTAAAAAAGAGTTCCTAGGGAAACTCATCAACACTATAATGAAACCATGTAGAACAAAACAATGTGATTTGAGGACCTGCTGTCTCCTTAGAAGGCCAGAGACAAAAGGGACTGTATAGTCATTTCCCAGCACAGTCTCACACAATGGGGGAAAATTGGTCCTGCAAAGGTCAAATGGTTTTTAGACAGTTTTTCTTACTTATTACTTTCTGACATTTTACTTGTCTTACACTCAATAAATTGATCTGTTAGGTTACAAAGAATACTTGTGTTAGGGCAGACTTATGCAGATTAGTCTCTTGGGCAGATTTATTCACGTATTGTCACAATTATATATCAAGGATTCCTTAGGTGACTTTTATTTCTAGCTTCTAGGTGTGTTATTACAGAGCAACAATCATTCTTAGACTTGTAGACTGATTGTTAGCCTGTGCTCTTCTTCACTGTTTTATGTATTATTGCTTTTGTTATTACCTGGTGATTACCTTCCTGCATCCCATGTGATATATCTTCAGATTATATCAATTGTTTTACTCTGCTGCCTCTACCATTAGCTAATTTTTTTCTCTTATGCTTTTGAAATGCATGCAATTGCCATTTGTCTTGTCCTAATGGCCATGTCAAACCGATCAGGCACTGAGCATTTCATTCATTAGGCACACTTTTCTGTGTGCACTCTTGTCACGGCAGAAACAAGAAGACGTTATGAAAGCATTGTCACTGCTCACATTGGGTGGTGTTATTGTGACATTCACAGTTTGTCTTCTACCCTTGGGCTGTTCCTTACAGACAGAAGAATTTAGATTTCCCAGAAAATATCTCCTCATTCTTTTCCAACCTCCAATCCTTTAATTTTAGAGCAAATCGACGTTAATTTCTCCACTTCCTTTTTTTAATTGGTAGCTTTAAATATAGATTCAGAATGAGACATAACTCATGTTTTTGCTTTAATGTAGATTTGGTATGTGTAATGCTGCCCGTGTCTGTGTTGTGTTACATGAATAAGTTCACTAGACTCGGTACTGCAAATAATACGCTTATTATCGTAATCTTGCTACGTGATTCGGGAAGATTAAACATATTTTTCTCTCTGCGGGTGGTGCTATTTAGATTCAGTGTTATGTGGTTGGCAACTATCTGAGATTTGCAGTGTGCTCTGCCCCGAGGGTGAGACTATGTCCCAGAATCCATCCTTTTACCACATGCAGGCGCTTGCTTCCACCTCTGTTTGCACATCCTCTTTCCAGGTCTTTGAAAGGGGGCATTTGTCTGCTACCTCAGCAGGACCAAGGCCCCTCCGCTGCTGTCAGCACTTCCATCCTGGAATGTGTTATAGCCTGCTGCCTGGCCAAGGAGCCACAGGGCCCCCCTGCTCCTCTGTTCCTCTCCCCCAACCCCTCCTCTCCGCTTTCTTCTCAGGGATTCATGCTATAATGGCAGTGGGGAGTATCCTTTCTGGACCTACGGTCTTATTTCAGTCTCATTTTAGTTTTCTTTCTTGGTCTGTAGAGGAAACTGAAAGCCAGCACACGATGGTACAGTGATATCAAACGGCTAAACAGAGGGCCCTGAAAAATGAACCACAGGCGTTTGCTTCCTTCACAGAAGCCAAATTAGTCATCATGGTGCTCTGCAACAAAAGGCATTTTCTCATCTATCGACACTTGAATCTAAAAAACAAAATTAGTGGACAAGCAGAACAGAAAGAGACTTATAAATACAGAGAACAGACTGATGGTTGCCAGAGGGGAACGGGGTTGGGGGATGGGTGAGGAAGGTGAAGGGATTGAGAAGTACAAATTGCTTGTTACAGAATAGCCATGGGGATGTACAGTGTAGCATAGGGAATACAGTCAATAACATTCTAATAACTGTGTGTGGTGTCAGCTGGGTGTGAGATTTATCGGGATGGTCACTGAGTAAGGTACATGATGTCTAACCACTGATGTGCCCGCCTGGTCTTGTACGTCAACTATAATTGAAAAATAAAAAATGATTAATAAAAAGAATTAAAAACAAAAAGAACACTTCAGGACTGCTATTCTAACTGGTAGTTTCTCTCCCTTTGAACTTGATGTATTTCCCCTGCAATGGATTCAGTCAGCAGTTTTCGAAGGTCTTGGTAAGACTAATGATTGTGGGCTTGGATGGGAGTGTTCTTCTTTCATGTACCTTTCGGCAGTGTTTTGCCAGTTACCTTTTATCCAGTTGTTCTGATTCATGTGTGTCTGTGTTGAAGAATAAAGTTGGAACTTGTCTTCACTGTTTGGAAACAGTGGTAATAAATATTTTTCCCTAAACTAAAAAAGAAAAAGAAAAGTGCTTCAATAGACTCTTCTTTAGTTCCCCTGTGACTATTGTGTGTATTTATTCATTTGTCTTATTTATGCCATTAAAAAAGGATTATTTTAACTCTAATAAGTGTCCCTTTTGTGCTCTATGAATGCTTTTGAGTTAAAAAGAATACTTATAAATTTCCTGTCCTGATATACTTCTTTTCTCATTCAGGAATTGAAATCTAAATGTGAAAGAATAAAACCTAATTCTTCTGAGTCATTGAGTAATATATTGAATAAAGCTTATGGTTAATTACTGGAAAACAAAGCAGCTTGTAAGGTTTTCACCTCCAAGTCAATATAGCGTGATACATATTTCAAATGTGATTTATTTTTCACCCCCTGTAAACCTTGTTCAATCTTCCTGAAGCTCTGTTCGCAGTCTCTAGAGACTGCATATCTTTTTAAGGAGATTTATTAACTGGCCTCCTCAGCTTCTCTTATGTCTGCTTGTCTAGTGCTTCCCTCTGCTGACTATTTCTTGAATTACATGCCATAGATGTTCCCAGTTTTGTCTGAGGGGCGAGGAAAATGAAACAATTTTAAAAGTGTATGCCACGGAGTTGGTTTTACATATATTTATTTTCAGCAATTAAATAAAATCTGAAGCCCAGATCATATTTCATTCTAGAACATTCCAGGGGATGGAAATATTAATCCCGATTCAGGCATTCAAGTATGCATACCTCACGTCAACCAGCTGCCTAGGTGTGTTTCTTGGTTGGGCTGAACAGAGATGGCAGAGAGGGATTTAGCCCTTCAGACAAAGATTTTCCTATGGCACGCTCCTTTTTCTTTTCTTTTTTTAAAACATAACCTTTTCCTCTAAAGATGTCAGTCTTCCTGACATGCCTCTGAAGCCTTCTCTCTTGCTCTGGGGCTGAAGTCAGAAATGCGTCTGGAGGTAACAGGCCAGCCCTGTATCTCACATCCCTGGTAGCACCCCTGTGGTGCTTATAGAAAGAGATAGAAAAAGGAGGAGGCGAGTCAGCCTTTGCCGACATTTCACTCCTATCAGTGAGTCCTGGAGCCGCAGTCTCCTTTCAAGCCCGTCTGATAAGTGTCTGCGCTGCAGGATGTGTTTGAGTGAATGATGAATCAATCGTGTTTGGTATGTGGCAGCTGCCTTGGGCCGGAGAGAAAGTGCTAATTTGGTATTTTCATAACGCTCTCCAGGGAGAGGCAAAGGGGAAAGTATATTTACCCTGTACCTATCACAGGTGCGAGAAGCTGTTATATCGTAGACATGATTTATTCTCATAATTACCCTGTTTGTGAGATGGATTGTTATCTCTACTTAAAGATGGAGGAGTGATGGCCTAGAAAGATTTAATAACTTCACAAGGACACCCAGGTCAAACTGGTTGACATCTAGGTTGGCCCAATGGCAGGGCTCTTCTAGAACATCATGACCTTGTGGGATGAGTACAAGGACCAGCTTATTGGCTAGGGCTCGGTGGGGTGGGGGGGGCGGGCATTGTTAGTTCAGTGATTGACTGCATTAATTCTTGACTGTGCTGTGGACTTGATTCACTGATGCTTTCCTGAGTGATGCTGCTCTGCAGTCCTGCGGGCTAGAGGAGGGGCAGGAGGGGTCTGTGGGGGAGGGCGGTGCTGCCATGCTGAATCCTAGCACCCCTGAGCACTCTGCAAGGCCCCGGGCTGGACAGTGTGGGTCTTTACTAGTATAAATGTGATAGACACTTGAGGAAGATGGCAGTCTGAACAGAACAGAACAGAAGAGAATAGAACACAACAAATACTTTACTGGAAATTGCTTGTCTACTTTTTTGGTTTTCATAAGAAAGGTAGTATAGACAATTCCAGGAGAGAGAATGCAAAGGGAAGACATACTATCCTGAGCTTGGAATATATTCTTTTGCAGAGGGAGAGAGGGGAACAGCCTGGGGGGAAGGGGCTTTAACTGTATCTGTAAATTGTATTCTTTTACAGAATACAGAAATGGCTGTAGATACTTGTTAAACCTGCATGGGAAGCATATAAATGTCTACTGTAATATTTTTATGGTTTCCTAAAACATTTCACAATGAAAAATTAAAGCACTAGAAAGGGGCAGACATAACTCTACCCACTGTCTTTTTTCCTTTACAGGTGACACGGTGTGAGGAGAGCCCCTTCCGAGGGCTGTCACGTTTCAAAGTGCCTCAGGAATCACACTTCACTTCATAAACTGCGTCGCACTGAGATGGTTTTTCACTCAAAAGCAATAAATAGTCTTAAAGTATCCCATGAAGTTTATCTTGGGTGTTATTGCCTCAAAGTTATCTTTCCTGTGTAAGTTTACAAACCCCTATGACAACAAGAGGCATATGCAAAGTATTCTTTTCAATATACAGCCAGAGGGGAGGCATGAGATTAAAGTCACACAAACTTATGGAATAACAAAGAGTCTTTTGTTAAAACCGTGAAATTTAGTTGGAAGAATTCCATAGCATTCCACATGCTTTTTACGGTTTGAAAACTATCATTCCGGGAAAGGGAATACAACATTTCTAACATCCTTTCTATGATTTAAAGCACATTATCATACATTATCTCATTTGATTATCACCACTGCTCTGAGAAGGAACGGAAACAAAGAAGTGAAGCAAGAGCCCATTTAGGGATTGGTCCCCACTGACACCCTCTATGCCTGCCATAGCCCCACCCCCAGCCCGTGACTTCTGGGAGCCAACCTACCTGTTCATGCGACCACGTCCGCTCAGAACCATCCTTGACACAGATGTCCAGCCTTAGCTCCGTGCCTGTGGCTCCGTGCTTGCTATCCACGCAGAGATTGGCTGCCACATTTCGAATCTGTGGAAAGAAGGAACAATGGGCCTGAGGCCATTTTTTTCTTTACCTCTACTTCCTGACAATTCTGGTACAGATGCAGTAGTTGGGTTTTTGTGTGTGATTTTATAATTACTGAATGATATCTTAAGTTTATGGCAGTTTATGGAGGAAGCAGGGAAATAAAAATGGCATGGTCCAGTCTACAGGTGAAAGAACACGAGCTGGAAGGACACCAACACTGTGGCTGACTGCTGCAGAAGAATGTGTGATCGCAACCCAGGGGGCAGCGGAGAGTTCATGACTTTTCTAAAATGGGAGATCTTTCTTCTTCAGCTAGTTCTTAACTTGGGATTTAGCTTCTTGTTCTAAAGTATCTTCTACCATTTCCACCTTAACTAGGGAAGAGATCCAGAATGAGGCAGGTGATACAGGTGAAGTGTGTGCTGAAAAAATGAATCACTCAGCTTGATTCTGGGCAGGACGTGATAACCTTGACATTGCAGTTTTCTTGGGATGGTCTCGGTCTATACCTAGGCCTGGTTGATATATTAAAAAATGTCACCCTAGAGTCTTAGCAAAACTACTTAGGAATACAGTAGTGTTCATACAATACTATGCTGGATAAAGATTCTCTACGTAAAGTCTGAACTTTGGAAAGTTGCAGAATAAAATAAAAAGAAGACTGAAAATTCTTTACAGTTATTGTATTAACACTGATATAAGAAACTGAATTGTTAGGGGTGGGAAAAGGGTGAACTATGAAAAGTAAGAAGAGTAGACACAGTGGCAGGAAGTTTGGACACATACATGTCCTTTTTGTCAGAGCTCCCTTCCTGAATATCTCGTCCATTCTCCTGTTAGCATCAGAACCACACCCTGTAGTAGAGTTGGCTATTATTTCTAGTTTGTTACTTACACCTGCTTGTTTAGATAAGCTTAATGATTTCAATCTTCTTTATGCCTTTATATAGTCCTGGATTGTACTAATCTTTTTAGGTCCAGTTAAGAATAGAAACAAGAATAGAATGTACTCCACTCTGCTGATCACTTCAGTGAAGGTTCTTTTGCCCAGAGTGTGTAGAGAGGGTAAGGAGTCTGCCCACAACAGAAGATGCCTAGTCTGGGACTATTCTTATTGGGGTAAGAGAATGAGGCAGAGAAAAGGTTGTTAGGAGACACACTGGGTCACATGAAGGGAATTTATGATGCTGGGATGAGATGGTGGTGGAGAGGCCTATTTCACACTTCACTTCTTTTAGGAGTAGACGTTGGTGTGATGTCATTTGGGAGGGGTCAATGTGGCGGTTACCAGTTTGCTTTTTCAGGGAATTTGGCCACTGCTGGGGTTCATCTTGGACTATTGGACCTCTACCCTCCGAGTCTCTGTCCTTGACGACAGGGAATGTGAAATAATGTAGGGCAACAGCTCTTAACCTAGTTTGGCCTGCAGATCTCTCTGAGAATCCAAGGAATGCTAGGACCTGCTTGTAAAAACAAACGAACTGTAAGTAAATACACATCAGCACGTTTGCACTCATTTCCCTGGAAAGCACAGACTCTGAATTTGAACTCTGAATTAGGAAAAAAAGCTTGCCTCCTACGCCTTGCAAACTAACTGAACTCCTCCTTTTAGCAGCATAGGAAATCCTGAAAGACAGCAAATGAACTTGGCTGGTGTCAAGTGCCTTCTCTCTCATTTCTTTTACTTTTTCTCCACCTTCTTCAAACAAGTACTAGGGAGGAACTGCACTACAGAATTTGGGGAGCCAACGTTAAAATGTGCCTTTTGTAAAACCAGTGCCTTGGTGTGTAAGAGTTTCTACAGTGAAATAGAGTCACCCAGGAGGTCAAAAGTCTGATTTTGCTGTTGCTGCCTTGGGCCTGGCGCACTCTGTGAAGCTCCTGTTTGATCTCCTCATCCTAGTGCAGGGTGTCTGTTTCTAAGGCTGTCTTTCAACCTGGGAGCCGCCCGACAGAGAGCTCTGGGCCGGGCTGTGCTTTCACTCTTAGACCATTTAAGTCTCAGACATTTGTCTTAGAGAACCAGAATTAGCTTACGCCAAAGACATCTCTGGGTGCTACTCTTCACTCTACTTGAGTCCAGGAGCTCTGAATGACATTTTGGAAGAAGCAGCTGCTTACAGGTTTCTGGCAGCATGGCCACAGAGGGGGATTTTGTTCCCCTTTATATTGGAGGGCCTCTGCTCTTGGAAAAGGGGGAGGTAGGGAAGAGAAGGACAAACACAAGCCAGGAACACGGACTGGCACATCTGCCAGATCTGCCTGTGGATTCACACCCAAAACACTCAGAGACCTTGTTCTGTTTCTAAATGCTCTGAGCTCGGAAGGTGCTCTGGCAGAAATGGAGGAGACCCATTTTCTGAACGTTTGCATTTTCTAAATTCTCACTGGAATGGCATCTATGTAGACAATGGGATCAACTTCTTTGGAAACCAAAGTTCAAGTTTCGAAGCCGTAATTGTCTACATCTGTGTAAATTCCAGAAAGTAGTGGTGCCAGAGAGGAGGCGCAGGACACAGGACACAGGACACAGTCTTGGATACAAGATCAATATCAGGCAGTTCCCACGTGCTTCTCCCCCTTTCCTATCTGCAGCTCCCCAGCACACATTCCTGTCCCCTCCTCTTGCTCACAAACACCACCTCCTCCTAATAAACAGGTAAATAAAATTCTGGTAGCACTGATTCTAATACACATTTATTCCTTTGAAAAAAATTTAAAAAGTGTAGACCAGAAAATTTAGGAACGATTTATACTTTTTCAACACAGGCTCTGTATCTGTGGCCAAAGGTAAAACAATTCTCTCTCTCTCTCTCTCTCTCACACACACACACACACACACACACACACACACACTCTCTCTCTCTCCAAATCTAGGACACAGAGTTGACTGGATCTGCATATGGCATGCTAGATCATTTTCAGTCTTTATTTCTTTGATTTCCAGCCTCAGGGTTTAGCATCATTAAAACTGTGCTAAAGAATCCTGAGAGACACCAAACATGATTAGGAAGCAAGGTAGTGCTTGACTAGGAGTGGGAAGAAAGGAGAAACCTGGGGAAAAAGGAATGGGAATTTGTGACAGGATTAGGAGATAATCTCCTTTCGGGTGAGGATTAGGAAAAGATCTGGCAGACAGTCCAGGATTTTTAGGTATGCAAGAGAAGTCAGGCTCCCTGGAACATATTTGCTGTTGTTTTTCCCTCCCGAACACAGGAGGTTTTGTGAAATAGGTACAAGAGAAGGGGACTGAGATATAAATGTCAAGGTGGCTAGTAGTAAGTGTTCGATAGGTAATTTAAGTGGTTGTTGGAGAGACCAGCCTCCGTTTAACAAATGGGAGAACACTGCTTGCTAATTTCCCGATAGCCTTGGGGTCTTTTCAAAGTAGTGGGTTCATGATTCATTCAACAAATATTTATGAAGTATTTGCTATGTCCTAGTCACTGTGCTAGATACTGGGGATACATTGAAAAATAGATACTTGGTTACCTTCTTTGTGCAAGTTTTGGTCCTGTGAGGACATTAGAGAGTGCAAGACAGGTTTGAGACTACCAGTACTGCTGGCTGCGAATTTCTAATGCTGCAGAAGGAACCAAGATGCTTCCCTTTGTGGACTGCAGTTGACTTTAGAATGCAAACTGATGAGCAGCTAGACGGAACGAAGATGCTAGGACAACAGGGAGAGAGAACTGTGTGGGGGTGAAGCAGGCCTGGGCTCTGCTCACCAGGCACAGATGAGTTTTCCTACAATCTAGCCACACACACCTTTTCGAACCTCAGTTTATGTATTAAATGTCAACATTTAAGGGGTGCTTCTGAATAAAAGGCACTTTCACAGGTACTGATGGAGATTCAAAGACAAAGAAAAAACAGTTTCTGCTCTCAAGGAGCCCACAGTCCCATTGGGCCACATCACTTTGAAGCCATTGTATGAAATTAGTAAATTCGAAGTAAGAACTGACCAATTCTGAGCACTTGGAACACTTCATACAATTGATGACTTTGGAAGGGGCTCTGGAGGACGAATAGGTTCGAATCCAGAGTGGAATGACAGAATGACAGTGTGGCCTTAGGGGTGCAAAATATACATAAATGTGGAGACTTGACAGTGCCAGACATTTTGGGGGGAATGGCTCATACTTGGTACGGCTCAGCAGAAGGTTTGTAAAATGCGGACAAGCATGTCTTGGTGGGTAGCTGTGAAGATTAAACTGATATGTGCAAAGCGCTTGCACAGGGTTCAGCACATTAGAAGTGGTCAGTACATGTTAGCTACTATTCAATTGTTTGCTCATTTTTTTCCAGTTGAATCAACCATATTGGTAAATGTGGTCATGTCATAGACATATCACATTTCTATTATACTATGAAACATCCCATGAAGCCCTGTAAATAATAATAATAAAAAAAGACTGCTTCTGAACAAGCTGTGGGCTCAAACTCCAGACTTTTTTCTCGGTCTGGATCACCTGTTAATCTCCATAATGTCATAAACAGCCACTTAAGATCTCAGGCTGACAACTTAGATGTCACCCTGGGTATACCCATATCCCCCCCTCCCCCTATCAATTAGCTGACTCCGTCCTGAATGTCCCACTCCTTTCTTCTCCTTTCCACTCTCACACACCTTCAACATCCCCTCATGGGCTTTGAAAGAATTGTGGAAAGATATATGTATTCTATTTTGTCATGTTTAATGAGCACCCATGTTTTTGTGAATATTATACATGGGATTATTATACCCATTATTGTACCCATGGTATGTAATCATTATACCCATGTATAATGCACACCCTTATATTTCCCTAAAAATTTTGGGCAAAACTGTGCACATTATACATGGCAAAATATGGTAGCATGAATTTTGCCATTTTAACCATTTTTAAGTGTAAAATTCAATCACATTAAGTACATTCAAAATTCTGTGTAACCATTACCACTATCTATTTTCAAGGTGTTTTCAGCCCTCCAAACAGCAACTCTGTAACCATTAAGCA